AATGTGGGGTATGAAAACAAAAATAGTTACAGTCGGTGTTCTAGGAACAATACCTGACAATACGAAGAAGAATATAGAAATGATAACAAAGGACCAGAGAATTGGAAAAATGAAGGAAATACGGGACAGGAGCCATATTAAAAAGAGCATTGTAAAACAAATTAAAGCCATCAGGAAGCAGGAAGCTACCTGGGATTTGAGAAGAAACCAACAACAAAAAGCGAATGAAACTGGATAATAATAAAATTCAAAATAATAATAATAATGATGATGATGAATGATGATGATGATGATAGTGATAATGAAATCAACAATAAAGATAATGATAATTATAATGATAACGATAACGATAATTATAATGACGATGACGGCGACGAGGACGATGACGAAACGATGACGCTAGTGATAGTGATAAGGACAACGATAACTACAACGATAACGACAACGGTAACGGTAACTATAACGATAAAGACAATGACAATGGCAATGGTATTGGCAATGGAAATAGAAATGGAAGTAACAATGATAGTGATCATGGTAATAACTATGACAATGACTATGATAATGATAACAATCATAATATATGAGTAGATACATACATATTCGGTTGTCATCAATTCAAGAATATCTTTTGATTAGAACCTTGCGTTTGTATTCCATACAGAACAAAAGACTTGTACGTTAAAAGTTTTGGTATTTATTAATATTAAAAATAAATGCATTAAAGTACTGTACTTAAATTTTGTCCGATACGTATTAGATTATGAGGCTTTGATTTGGTCACCCATTTATAACTACTATATCAGTAGGGTTGAGTTTATCCTAAGACGGTTTCTGAGTTTTTAGCCTATAAGAAAGATCACCCATTACCCGTATTGAAATTAGATGAAATATTGTTGCATAATAGAAGAAAACTACTATTAAGTTTTATATATCCTTGTACGATGTATTAATGTATCAAAATTTGAAAAATCTGTAGTTCTTCTGGCACTTATAATGAATCTCTTATAGCAATCTTAAATACTGCAATATCTAAACTGTTATAAAATGTATCTATACATATTTAATTCAATTATGTGTTTTAGTTTTTACAATGGCTGTTCTTTTTTGTATTTTTAAGTACTTTTATTATTTATTTTAATTATATTATTCTATTACGGCACTACTATGTTATTTATTCTCATTTCGTGTAACTAGGAGTAACCTGTTGGAAATAAATACTATTATTGTTCCAATTTTAGTTTATTTAGCACAGTTTTTATTTATTATTTTTGTTTGACGCTTCATAATAACAAAATTACAATTTCCTTAAAAAAAACCTCCTCCACATTAGCAGAGTCATTTATATATTATTCATTGTCTCTTAAAGCTTCCATAGTATTCTAAAAACAATACAGAACAATATTTAAGTTTTTAAGAACATTTTAGAACCATCACTAATAAGTGAATAAATTAGTAAACAAAGTACACTAGACTGGTTTTCGCTACACTGCTCCTCCCTCCTACAAATAATCGGCCCATATAGCAATCAAAGACCTTTCTGACCAATGTCTGATATTGGGTTAAACGATCAGGTAAACGACTTCCAGTTTCGCCCTGGGTTTTTGGATAATTTTGAAAAATACTAGTCTCCCAGCACGTCAGTTCGATCTTCTTGCTAACAAAAAATAATGTCGTAAGATAGCTTCAATTATTATCTACGAAAGACTATGTTGTCAGATTCCGGTAGTCTCAAGATCTGCTGATCTATAAACCAATTTTGATGTATATTAATTAACTGGTAAATTTTTTGGAACACATCCGAATCAAAATTTCGCCTTGATCCGAAAACTTCTGCTACCGCCACTGTAAAAGTTTTGGCAGATCCAATATTTACTTCATGTCTCACCTCGTCCAAAATTTGAACAGTATTTGTTGATAATTTCCTGCTTTCTTTGTCCCTGGTTATTTGCCTTATCGTCGTCGTCCTCATACTGTTGGAAACTATCATTTGTTCTTTGAGTCCTACTTTTTAGACCTGCTGTGTTACTCTCATTACTTAGGTCATACTTGTTGTGTCTACCTTCACCTAAAATTTGTAAAAGGTCTCACCTCTCAGTGATGCCTGTGATGCCTATAATGGCTGCAGCTTTCTCACTATCAGTTCAGTTCACTGCGGCATCAAACTGATTCATGTAGGTTTGATTTACCACAATAAACTGGGAGCTGTATTTTGGCCGAGTTTCGATAAAATTATTTGATTTGGACAGTTCCCGTTGATACTTCCCTTCATGAAGTCACGCATTGTTTTCTAATTCCTCATATCTTCTACTTCTTTCTATATGCTGTTGGATCTGCTCTCCACCTCTTCGAATCGGTTATCCATTTCCATCTTGATATTGTTTGTCGTAATGACTAGTTCTAATCTAATTGTTTCATCATGTCATCTTTCATATTGTCTAGTTGATTTTTTAAGTCACTTTTAAGTTCGTATTTCATTACTCCCATATCAGCTCTTAATGCATCCTGTCCTTTCTTAATATCAAATCTTCCTGTAACCCTATATTGTCTATCATATCTTAATGCATCCTCCCTATTATAAATTTATTCTCCTTGCCCTCATCATTTCCATATGCTGTTTCGTGTACTCTTCCATTTATGCTATTTTAGATTTGGCGTTCACTGTCAATTCTTTTCAATAATCTTTAGAAACCCACTTGTAACACCAATTTGTACCAAATTTCCTTTATTCAGCACAATTTTAATACAGTTTAAAAACTTTGAACTATGACTTTATTGTTTCACAATACAAAACTTACAACTTATCCTACACAAAACTACCACTCGCGCATTAGTGTGAACGTCTGTATACATTTCATTGTTTCTCGAAATTACCAACTAAGAACAATATATAACAATATCTAAGCTTCTAAGAACATTCCAAAACTATTATGAAACTAATAAGTGAATAAATGTGTAAACGAAATGCACTTGAATGATTTTCACTAATCATAATAATCATTATCATCACAATCATCGTCGTGATCACTGTCATCGTCGTAGTCGTCGTCCTCATCATCATCATCATCATCATAATCATCATCATCATCATCATCATCATCATTATCTTCATCGTTATCGTCATCGTCGTGATCGTCACGATCGTCGTCGTCGTCGTCGTCGTCCTCCTCCACCCCCTCCTCTCCCTCCTCCTCCTCCTCCTTCTCCTCCTCCTCCTCCTCCCCCTCCTAATCTTCCTCCTCCTCGTCCTCGTCGTCCTCTTCCTCGTTCCCGTTCGCTTACACATCGTCTCCTCCGTTCCTATCATCGCCATCGCCACCACCACCACCGTCACGTCACCGTCATTGTTATCATAGTCGTCATCGCCGTAGTCCTCGACATCGTTCTCGTTCTCGTCATCTTCGTCGTCCTCGATATCGTTTTCGTTCTCGTCATCTTCGTCGTCCTCGTCGTTGTCGTCATCCTCATCCTTGTCTTCATCGTTGTTGTTGTCATCGTTTTAGTTTCTTCGCTATCGTCGTCGTCTTCGCTCTCGTCATCGTCCTCAGTCGTTCTCCTCGTATTCAGCGTCGTCTTCTTCCTCTTCCTAGTCTCCACTCGCGTCCTAATCCTCGTCCCCGTCGTCGTTCCTGCCATTGTCACCGTCGTAGTCATCTTAGTTGTCGTCCTCTTCCCCACTCCCATCATCACCACCGCCACAGTTATCATCATAGTCATCGGCACCCTTATCGTCATCGCACTTGTCGCCCTTGTAGTCGTCGATACATCTCATCAACATCTGTATTGTCATCGTCAGCGTCGCCGTTATTATTACCAGCATCCTCATATATACCTGTAGTGACGTTGGAATTCTGAGGATATTTCGTAGTATTACCATCACCGCTTGATGTATAATTTAGTGCTTCTTTTACTTTTACTTAATAAAATCGTCAACTCAAGTTTAACTAATCTAATTGTAAGTCAAATATCTCGCGAGACGTTTACATAAATGTGATATTTTTCAAAAATTTGGACACCCATGCATGTAAAATTATTTAAAAATAAACTCGTATCAGTTTTTAGACGGGTATATTGCATCCCTGTCGACTTTTCGATTCGATTCGGTTCGATTTTTTTCAAAGTATATCAAGGGAAAATTTTAAAAAATGGTATATTTAAATTTCTATATATACTGTATACAATACCTAACTGAAAAAAAAGCAAGAGCGAAGAATGTTTTTAGTATTAATATTACTAAAGATAAATATAAGAAGTGGTTGTTTCAGAAAATTAAACATTTAGATATTATAATAGTAGTGTAGAATGTTTCCTAAATAATCTAAAATACTTGAAGGGTTATTTTTTATGTTATTTGAAGAAGAACACTTCATATTGGTATGTACTAAAACGCAGTATTTCTGAAATACAGGGTGCTGAACTTTAAAAAGTCATCAGGTTGATTATCGCTTATTCAGTTACGGTTTTAAGACGAGATGCACATTTTTTAATTATGCTTTTTTGTTAAGTAAAAAATTGAATTTATTTGCTTTTGCCATAAGTTCAGAAATGTAGTAACTTCTATTGATTCGTTTCATACTGCCGAAGATCCTCGTCGGTAATAATAAAGATGTAATAGTTTATTTGATATATTTATTCAAATTTGATTTCAACTCTGCAACTAAACGTAGGATTTTTAATCTCTTAAATGTCAACTTTTGAAATTGTATCACCAAAAGTATCACATCTCACCTGTAATGCAACTTTCTTTAAATACTCTTTCCACACAGTAGAATAAAAAAAATATTTTCACTTTAAATAGCTAATGTAACTGACACAATAAATTAATTAATCATCGATTTATAAACACGTAATGGGGTTTTAAACATAATTTTGCTCTTATTTGCGGTGCTGTGTTTATATGAAATTTTCACCCTTCATATATTTTAGTCTACTTAGGAACAACCTCTATGTGAATGTTTCATTTGAACATATTGTACTGAAAAATATTCTATGTTAAACAGTTGCCACCTTAAGAAGTGTTTCGGTTCGAGAACAGCTAGCAGCAGCTGCTGGAGCAACGACCGTTGCCGTCAATCCAAGTCCAGGTCCAGGAGCATCACGAACTTTGTTTGGCCGTCTGGGTATCCGAAAGCCATCCATTCTTAGCCTGACCAGTCCACACGCCAGTGGTTATGTTCCGGCTACCGCCCGAACTTTCAGTTTGGACGATTTGCTAAAACCTCCCCCTAGACGTAAGGCCAAGTGCCTGAACTATAATTGTCAACACTTATACTTCATCGTACAGTATTTGCTCATTACCTATTCTATCTCTCTTTTCTCTATGTTGTTTGTAAAATACTCCTTTCCCTCACTCTATTGCGTGTGGCTGGTAGGTTGCACATTACAGTATTATATTTTTTTTTGTTGTCGCACTGTTTACAGCTACTGTACATATACAACACCTGTATATATCTACATATTACTTGAGTTTATCAGTAGGAACCATATGAAGAATTGTACTATATAATAATTTTCACGTTGCACAAAAAAGTATGTATTTTGAAAAGCATATAACTTTTCTTTAATAGTGACAAAAAAAAAGTCCAAACTCAAGAGACCCATATATCGTTTACAAAGGAATTGATGCGTTGAACACGATCCTGTACCTAGTCACAATTCATGACATGATTTGCCGACGAATTTCATAGAAAAGTGAAATTTTTGGGTGAAAACGTCCAATTATGGGTCAAAACTACAGACTACGTTAGTCATTCATAAATAGCTCTTGTTTGCTTGATAACATTACTTGATGGTAAAGGGAAAAGGAATCAAGGGAGGAAACAATAATGTCGATGAATGCTCCACATATTTTAAATTAACCATAGGTGATTCATATAATTTATGTTTGGAGTTAAATAGAACTTAAATTCTCGTTAGAGGCTAGATTTTTCGTATAATTACATAATTTTTACAGTATATTGATTATAAAATGTGTAATTGAAAGATTTAGGTATTAATTTCAATTTTTCTAGTTAGTTATAAAAATAATAGTATTTTATTGATTACAAGACCAATGCTTTTTTCAAATTTTGGTGTCTGTATTCACGGTGCGTCTTATATTCGGTAGCATCTTACTAGGGTAAAACCATTCTTCATTATATCTCTAGTTTAGAAAAATAAAAGTGCATTTTATAATCGATGAAATACGGTACTTATGTACCTGACGAAATAGATTTTAGTTGTTTTTTTTGGAGATCTACTACTAATGCTTGAATTTGAACTGTAATACAAATATTTAATTAAAATTACTTAATAATAACAACTTCAGTGATAATTTGCACCTGACACATAATAAATATTCAATGATGAGCATTTGTCGATTGTGTAACGAATACTGTTTTTAAATTATTTCCTTTATGAAAAAAAAAGATAAAAACAATGGATACCTTGTACGTTCTAGAGGATGAAATACATAATGAAGTTGTAATGGAACAGCTTCTCGTTTCAAATATTTACTTCCATCATTTCGATATTCAAAATCATTTTGGTTAAAGTAATTTGAACATATTTCTACCAGTTTTAATAATTGGTATCCTTCTTGAAATCCAAGAGCTGATAACCAAAGACTTCGTCTTTTAGGAAAAACTAGCAATAAAAATTTTTTAATTTTTACTTGCTTTAGTCAGTAATTTTCATCGTTTATTTTTTTCAGTTAATACTTGTTCAAATCTTGACACAATTGTTGCAATTAATTTCGGAAAATAAAATAAAATGGCAATTATGTATATGTTTTTTGTGCTTTCTAGAGACGCGGACGCCAATGATCTAACCTCAAATCGAACATTACTTACCGATGAAATAAAATCTGTTGGTCCAGTGTCTGATGGCTATACAGGTTCTCCGGAAAGGTAATGTTAAAAATGAAGGGGTATACAGGGGAGGTCAAAATAGATGTAGTACTTCATATAATTTTTTTTCCTATCGGGCTTCGTTGTGGAGTTATTCGCTTTCAAATAAATAAATTTGAAAAACAAATTCCAATTATAACTTCTAAGTGGTTACCATAACAAAAATGAAATTTGGGCAATTGAAGTAACTCATGGTAATGTTTATTTCCAAGTTTAAACTGATATTCAGCATGCCTGGATTATACAGGAGCAGACGAAATTATCCATTTAAATTTATACATCTTTGACAGCGTTGCCAAATTTGGCATTTTTCTTTCATAGTTCTATTCCTCTCTCACTTTGCTTAAAAAAAGGTATACTGTATATCAGTCGATATCTTGTACCGTTTTTGAGAAAACCGAATTTTATTAACAACACATGTGTGTTGCATCAAAAATGCGATATTAACATTTTTATAAAAATTTTGGTAAAATATTATAAAAATGACACTCCACTTCCACTACCAATACAACTTACAAAATCATCAATATGAATTAATATGAATTAATCGAATGAATATGTTAACAAATGTTCAAATGAGTAAAGCGGACAGGCCACAAAATAATTTTCATTACACTTGTAATGTCATATAATCAAGGAATAATATATCTACATTTGTAGAAATTGTGTAAAATATAGAGGATTAGAACATTTTAATAAAAAATACTACTAGGCCAATCAATAGAGCATTGAATCAGTGATTTTGTGACAAAAATGCTAGTAGCAAACGAACTGTGCCATCATATAAAAGACAGTCTGTAGATTTATGCTTATGTTTCCTACTCCAATATATCGTTATATAATTTTTTATAAACGTTTTTATGCAAAAAAACGCAACGACAAAATGTTATAAATATATTGTTTTTTAAAAGAGAACGTGCGTGTGTCAGGATTATTTAAAGAACAGTAGTCGCGAGTCACTTCAGAAAAATCAACAAATTCTTTTTAAATATGTCGTATTGTGTATTTTATCATATTAAATATTGATATTGATATTGTTTCCAGAACTAATTTACAGCTCTTCATATGGTTTATGAACTATTTGAATTGTTTACTAAAAATATAAAATAAAAGGATATAACATACATATTTGTGATTCGTTTCAAGTTAACTTTTCTAAAGCGTATTGAAAACGAAAACTATTAGTTGGATATTAAGAAATACTTTTTTTTCTAATTTCTTAACATTATTGATTAATAAAACAATAGATGTCAAATTTTTTTCCAAAATAGTAAAATAATGACTTGCCATTTGCAACTGGCTCTAATCGTCATTTTGGAGTTCAAATTTAAAAAAAAAAAATGTTTTCCCTGTAAGTTTTCTACCAAGCTTGTTCGGACTCATATTCATAGGATTTTTTCTTAAATTTTGTCACAAACAATTTGGTGGAGGGGACCACCAATATTCCGAGGAGGTTTTCAGGGGGCAAAACTGAACAGGAAAGCCACATAAACATATGGTCAAATATCAACGGTTACTGAGATAGCAATGAAAACATTTTTGTATAAGTTAATTATTGAAATGCGTCAGTACAGAAAAGTATTTATTCTGTATTATAAAATATAACATCAAAAATTTAAAAATGAATTATTAAATTATTTAATAAATTAATTAATTAGGTGTTCAAATATACCACCATCCACCTCGATGTATCAGCTCTTGTGTGGATTGCACGGGTAGCTCGTTGAAGTGCACGGTGATTTTCTCTTATAAGTGCTGCACAATTGAAAATCCGATGGAGTAGTGCCTCTCTTGTATTCAGTTTTGTTGAATTAATTAATGATTTAAACCATCCCAAATGCAGTAATCAAGGGTATTTAAATCTGGTGGGCCAATTTCGGTAACCACCACAGCCAATCCAGCGATATAGAAAGCGACTGTTGAGATGATTGATCACAACACGACGAAAATGGTCAGAGGCACCATCATGCTGAAAGTACATGTTTTGCTTAATATCCAACGGAACTTCGCCCAGTAGATATGTCAAATTATTTTCCAAAAATTCTAAATATCTAGCTCCAGTAAGATGAGTATCTAGCACAACTGGGCCAAGTAATTGATTGATTAAACATACCACACCACACGTTAATGCTGAATGCTCATTTACTCCATCACGAGTGAACTGAACCTCATCAGTGAACATGAACAGAATAAATGTCACATTTTACTAATCACTTTGTTTAGATGCATGGCCGCCCCAAAATAAAATATCAAATAATAACAAATTTCACAATAAAGAGCTTTTTATTGCTATCTCAGTAACCGTTGATATTTGACCATATGTTTATTAGGCTTTTCTGTTTACTTTTGCCCCCTGAACACCTCCTCGGAATATTGGGGGTTCCTCCCCAATCACCCTGTATTTTATATACCTGCCTATAGAAAGTAGCAATACAAAATATACATAATTATTATTTGTATTAGTGTATTTTAGTGTATTTTTGAAATGTAGTTTAAAATATGTCATACTAATTTCCAATACCTGTGTACTTACTGCGAAAAAATTGCAGTGCATTTGTTGGTATCCAACTTATAAAATAATCTATTATCCTGGTAATAGATCTAACGGAGGAATATATTTAATTAATATCACCTTAAAGCAGGAAAAAAACTAAAAACGTTCAGAAATATTCAGTCAGCCTTTACTTCTTTATAACCCTTCTTCTTCTTCTTCTTCAATGTCCAAAACAATATGATCAATTGCCATGTTCATTATCCTTATGTTAAGATATTTTTATTAAACAACTCAATAGGTTCTTATTTTCCTTCAAGCTTAATTATATACCAGAGTATATGTATGTCGCTTTAAAATATAATGCGACATTAAATATTTTCAATTTTTATATTTATACATCTATTGTTATATAGGCACACCTTCACCAAAAAAGAAAAGAAATAACTCAACGCCAACTAAGAAAAATATAGCCGAAAAGAAACAAATTTTACAACAGTTAATATCTCCTATAAATAAACAAAATACAAAGAAAGTTAGTTTAGGTGAACTAATACAATTGAGCGACGTAAAAATAAATGACTCATCGCACTCTAAACAGGACGCACTTAAAATGGCAGAGACTACATTCGGAGAAAACCCTGCACAAACTGCACTGAATGACCCAAAATTGGAAAAGAAAGTAACATTTGCACGATTATTAAATAAAGTATCTGCAGAAATGAGTTCAGGGTCGGAAGTAGAGCTCGGAATCATGCAAACTAACAAATTAGGATGTATGTTTGCTCGTCCATCTAGCACACCGCCCTCTCCTGGTATCGAAGTTAGGTCTCCAAACAGCACCTCTAGCAACCAAGGTAGCGATTCACTCACTAGCTCTGATCTTGCTATTCCCAGTGCTTTGAGTTCAAGTATTTCAGATCTCCTTATCAACAGACGCAACAGCAAACTTCCAAACGGTAGACTGAAGCCAACCAGTGCTGATTCCATTTTAGCTATGTTCCGAAATTTTTCATCTAGTTCCGCAGGAGCCAACCTACCTTCTTTAAAAGTATCTCCATCTACCACACCCACAGCTTCCAGTCCGCAAGATGAAATTGTAGGCGACGACGAATCGTCAACATCTTCAATTCACACACCTGTGTCATTTTCAAGCGGCCCTCCAGAGAGCCCCATAATGCAGCATCACGATTTTGGTCAAGGCACCATAGAAGTCCCCGTTTTGGATCCCCTAAGTGCACATAAGTCGTCTTGTAGTGGTGGGAATTTGTTACATCCACCTACAATTTTGTTAGAAATACCGAGCACAATCAATAAGTGCCTTTCACCTATTAGAGAGTTACCCACGCCTTTACCTTCACCGATGCCATCTCCTGCCTTAACCCCTATCATGAGACGCAATGTCATATTATCCTTAGAGAATGCAGATTTGAGCGATGACAGAATATCTATAGAAATACCTAATATATCCGTCAATTATAGTGATCTTGACGATGACGATGTACACTGCTCTGATATTGTTATAGACCCACATGCAGAAGATGGACTGATACTGGAAGAAGCTGCATCAATGCATCAGTCTTCATTAATGAGATTAAAAGTACGTTTTGTCTTATAATTATTTTATTAGAATAATTATAGATTAAAATATAGAGTGTTTCGCATACGAACCGACACAGAGCAGGGGCGTGTAGGGGAACCCAAAATATGGTGATTTAACCCAACTTATCTTTATACTAAACTGCACCACTGACAAGTTATAGGCCTTGAAAGTGAGGTTTCAAATTTCGAAAAAAATCAATATCTTAATTATACTTGAACTTGAAAAACTAAATTTGGTACACGATGTGAATGTACCAAGAGCATTAATCGGCAATAAGTAGAGTTCAAATGAAGAGTTTTAATGGGTTGATAATGGATTGGCGGACTTAAAAAATTATTACTTTATTTTATGGGGAATTTAATTCTAAAACTTTCCTTACCCCTGTTAGCTTTCAAAAAACTTTGTCGTTTTTAACAAAAACACGAATAGCTAATAATACGTATTGTAGGTGTGTTATTTAAAATCATCGAAAATTCAAAAGTTGGCTATGAATTTAAACGGCCAGGAAAAGTTGGATTAAAAATAATTTAATAAAATGACACCGTTTTCTCTCAACATAAGTTTAATCTTCGTCGAAAATTAAAATCTACTCTGTCCAATAACTGCTGATTGTTTCCAATAATGTGCATTTATCCTTAATATCATTCCGCAATTCTGCTCGAGACGCAACTAGCGAGGAATGCACAAATTCTTTTAACGTTGCCGAAAGAAAAAAGTCACATTTGTTGAAGTCTGCTGATCGTGGAAGCCAAACTAGTTGGCAATTATTTCCTCTTCCAATCCATTTATTTGGATAATGGTGGTTTAAAAAGTCTCTAACAATATTACTAAAATAAGGGGCTGCTCCATCTTGCATAAACTATTGTTCAGTCTGAGTTATAGTGGCACCTCGTCAAGTAGATCCGGGAGAGTGTTTTGGAGAAATTCTAAATATGTTTCGCCAATTTACTCGATTCGGTAAAATAACTGGATCAATTAAATACCGATCAATAACTCCGATCCAAACATTTATTTTAAACACGCGTTGAAAATGTCGAGGCGTTACTAAAGGATTTACTTCGGAATACTCATGGTAGTTATGTAAATTTGTAATACATCTGCGGGTGTGAAACAAGCTTCATCAGTAGAGAGAACTTTCTTTTGAAAATTAATGCCTTGATATAAAATAAACTGACAGAATTTCATTCGTGTAACCAAATCATTCGGTAACAATTCTTGCACTTTTTAGATATAATATGAGTGTAGTAGATTATGTCTGATCACTCGGTGCAGAGAAGTTTGCGATATACCAGTTTGTCGAGATAGAATTCTAGTAGTACTAATATGTGTGTCATATTCAATTGTATTCAAAATAAGTTCTTCGTCTTGTACGTTCATTTCAATAACACGTTCTCCAGTGTTGCTGAAGAATTTTCGTCTTTCAACATTGGAAAATGATCCTCTTTGGGGGATTACACGATTTGGAAATCTTCTCTGATATTCTTCAATACTTCTTCTGTAGTTTCCTAGAAGAAACCTAACATTGCATGTTAACTGATTCGCAAAATGAAAACTTCTCGGCCATTTTCAAAACACTCAACAAACAATTACTAAAATTAAATGACTTTTTTCCTGATCGTCACGTTAGACGTTCCAGCCAACTTTTGAATTTTCAGTGAATTTAAATAACAGCTACATTACGTATTATTCATTATTGGTATTTTTTTGAAAAACGACCAGTTTTGAAAATTAACGAGAGTAAGTAAAGTTTTAGAATTAAATTCCACATAAAATTTTTAAATCCTCCAACGGTTTAAAAAACTGTGTCACATTTTAATGCTGCACCATCACTTATCAGCCCTTTAAAATGCTTCAATTGAATTCTACTTACTGTCGATTAATGCTCTTGATACACCGTGTACCAAATTTGGTTTTTCTATAACTGAGATATTACGAACTTATTTTATTGGCTTTTGTTTGTTTTGTTATTCATTTTATGTTGTGTCTTTATGGGCATTTTTCATTTTAGCTTGTGTATATGCATAATGTTTATCGTATTTTATTCTATTTTACTAAAGCATAATATGCCTGTTTTGCACTACTGATATTTTAATTACTGTAAAACACTTTATTAAGTTTTATTACTTTTGAATTTATTTATAGCTATTTTTCTTCGAATTGTTTTACCAATTGTTACTGTTATTTTTATTTTTTATATTACGAGTACGTATTGTGTTCCCACACATTCAATAATTGAATATATTCTGTTGAATGGTATATCAAATAATAATAATATTATTCATTTTTTTTTAAATTTGAAACCCCTGTTTCAAGACTTATAACTTCTCAGGGGTGCAGCTTAGTATAAAGGTAAATTGCGTTAAATCACCATATTTTAGATTCCGCTATATACCCCTGCTCTGTGTCGATTTTTATGCGAAACACAATGTATATGTTTATATTATATAAATTAAATTTTCAGGATCGACTGCCACCTCTTGGTCAGCCCAGGGAAAGCAAAGAGATAACAGAGTCGCCACCTCTTGTTATACCAACTTTGACAATTCAAACCCCTTCTCCCACTCACTTTCCTAAACCCTCGGTCTTATTTCCTGGTTCACCACCACCTCATAAATCACAGAGTGAAACTTGTTTCCAATTTCCTGCTCCTAAGCAATCTAAAAAATTGTTTAAAGACTTCGAAAAGCCCACATCACTGGATTTACCTTGTGCTCCTCCAATGATTACAATCACTTGCAACTTAAGTGAGGTTGAATCTGACACAGAATCTCCTGCTGTAAAACCCACTGTCCATCTAGGTGTAACTTCTAGTGGCATGACTTACCTCAGTCCTTTCTCCATGAATACTCGTGGAGATCATACTGCATCCGAGTCAAATTTAAGTTCTTCTGGATACAGTTCCATGGCTAGTCCTGGACCTTCCAGGTGTAGTTCTAATAATCCTTTGTGTCCCTCAGAAATGGATGATCAAGGACCTGGATTTGCTGGATGTAAGAGAAGACAATCTTTGGCACCCGCTATAAAGCTTGTATCTAACTTGTCTGGTTCTACTAATACTGATAAAAATATACAAAATGAAAGAAGAGGTCGTTCAGATTCAGAAACATTGTCGGATGATCCTCTTCTTGAATCTAATGATGAGGGAATAGGTACAGATCACATTGATGAAAAAATTGACGATGGTGAAGTGAAAAGTGCTAAAGAACTGGAGGTTTTTATGACCAAAGAAGGTGATATACCAAATACATTATTAAGTTTGTCTGCAGTTTCTACTACACCGCGAACTGGACTTAAATGTTTGAATATAGAAGAGCCTGGTGAACATTTATCACCGTCAAATTTAAATAATAAAAATTCTCTTCAGTTACCTTCAATCGTGGTGCAGTTCGATTCTCCAGGTTATGAAAAACATTTAAGTCCAATGAGTTCCCGAAGTGAAAGTCCGTTAAGTGATCGAACTTCAGGAATGGGAAGATTTTCACCTCAGTTTTATGGAAAAAATAAAGATATATTACCTTTCACTGATTCAGATGGGCTTTATGATTTTCCTAGTTCTGATAAAGTAAATATAACAAGTAGTACACAACACAAGAAAGTAGGAAGAAAACGAGAAAAAAAATTATTACGAAATTGTAAAACACCTAGTTCAACAAAATCACATCACTTCGCAACTGTTTGCAACCTTTTGGATGTTCCTAATAGAGAACCGTTACACAAAGTTCCACCACCTAGAAAACTAAGTCCTAAACGTAGAATTACTAGGTCTCAAGTAGTTAGTTCATCTTCAAGTTCTGATAGTATTACTTCAACTAGAGAAAATAAACTTTCAAGTCCGAGTCCAGATACAATTCTGTTGTCGTCACCAGTAGCTTGGATGAATGAGAAATATTCTAAATCAAACAGAGAATCACTAGAGGATTCATGTGGCGTACGTTATATTTTAATTTTCATTGAATGATCGTAAAATATAGTACAGTAGCAATAGTAGTAATCAATAATACTATACTAATACGTTTTATGATATCCTGAACCATATACACTAACAGTAATCATGCTAATATGCATGCTAGTATCTATGTAAAGAGTTTATAATGGGCCAGACCGGTAATTTTTTATCATTACCTACCTATAATCCCTGAAATTAATAAGTCTTGTTAGCCTTTGCTATGAAAAAAAAATACCGTTACTATCCAAAAATGCTAGAATAATAGTCGTAGTGATAAGAATGAACAAAAATTGATTTAACTATCTCTCTCTTTTGGACGAAAAAAGTTCCAGGATAACATAAAATGTTGAACTATTTCGATATAAGGATCTTATAGTGTAATATACTATTAATAGATTTTCAACAACTAGAAGTATTGATATGAATGTTTTAGTATATCTGAACTTGACGTCAATTTAAAAACAAAAATATTTTAGTGGTAAGCTAATTCAAATAAATTGAAAATTTTTCCAACAATCCTATTTATATATTTATAGAATCTTCAGAATTTTCTTCTATCTATTTAAACTAAACTTGATTACCTTTAAAATAAAATAATAATACAGTTAAATTGTTTTATATAAGTAAACTCTTTTTTAATTTCCAGGAATTACAAGACATAAATTTTCCGGAAGTGCCAAACTCTTCTGACTACAAAAATGACATTTCTAATCGAAAAGTTAGCAAATTACGAGCAATAAGTCATCAAATAAGGTAATTGTTAGAATTTTATATAAAGTGACATTATTTTAACACAAAATATGAGGTAGATATTCTACAGAAATTTACAGAATTGCAGAAACTAATGAAAGTGTTTTAATTGTATTATCAAAATTAGAAGTATTTAATATATGAATCGAATACCCATATCTAAATCACTCAAAAGGTTAAAATATATTCATTTATTTTTCATTTATATTATTTCCGGTTTTTGAGCCACACCATTCTATTTAAAATATCCTAAAAATTTTTTAATTTTTCGGTAGAAAATTTTAAACTCAGACATTGTTGGGACAATTATTTGTAGAGAGTTCAACTATACAGGATGTTCCAATTATAACTTCACACCTGGAAAATATCGGAATTAAAAAAAATGAGACGTCGATTTTCTTTTCAAAGGGGCCACGTCTTGGAAGCTACCCCTTAGGTTGGGGTGGAAATACCCTTTAAATATACTTTACATGGCACCCTATGTTGAGTGACACTCCATTTTAAAGTTTTTTCAATTCTGCTCACGAGGACGTTCAACTTTTTAAATTTTGGTTAGGACATGACCATAAAATCATCACTTAAAGAATACGACTAAGTATCAAGAATAAGACAAAGTAACAAGAATTATTTTATTTTATTAAGTGTTCATATTAGTTTCCCTCCGCTTCCATACAATAATAAAATCTTTGCTCCGCTTCCGATTGAACATTTCGAAGCATTTCCGGCGTTATCTGACAACATTCTTCAACAATTCGCCGACGAAGCTCCTCATGTGAGTTCGGTCTTGTTGCATAAATTTTCGACTTTAAGTGTCCCATAGAAAAAAGTCAAAGGGCGTTAGATCTGGCGATCTGGCGATCTGGGAGGCCACTCAATTGAACATCTGCGTCCTATCCAGTGATTTGGAAAGTTCTGATTAAGAAAATCACGCACAGCTACGACATAATGTGATGGAACACCATCCTGCTGAAATCACAAATTTTCTTCTGACAAATCGTTGTCATTTTCTAATACTTCCACAATCATCGGGTAGATATTCGTTTTCTGTAGATTCAGATACATGTTTTTATCCATATTTCCCAGCAGAAAGAAAAGCCCTATGAGGTGATCTCCCAGTATACCCGCCAAACATTCAATTTCCTCGGATGCTGCGTATGAGTTTCATGTAAAATGCTTGGATTTTCGTCACTCCAGTAGCGGTAATTATGACGGTTGACTCGACTATCCAATTGGAACTTACATTCATCGAAAAAACAGATTGAGTACAAAAAAATTGGATTCCTTCGAGGACGATCACTCATTTCTTCACAGAACTGCAAACAGCAATCAGGATTGTCTTCATTAATTTCCACCATTTCCATACCAAAATACCAAAACCATTTTGTATGGGTGATACTTATGAATTTTTAAGATTTGTCGACAACTAGATACAGGACTTCCTGAAATACTTGCTAGTTTCCCCAGACTCAAATTTGGTTCCATTGCAATATGACCCAGAACAGCTATCTGATTACATACGACCTGTTCACGTTGATGCTTTCTGTTTGCAACCGATCAAGTTTCCGAAAATTTATGCACCAAATTCAGGATGTACCGATGCGAAGTGTTTTTGTCAGGATGACTATCATTAAAAATCTGTGCTGCCTGCCGTGCACAGTCATTATTCTTGTAAAACAAACTAATTATTTTTACTTTTTCAAAGATTATATATACCATCTTCACGAATTGGAATTCAATCGATTTTGTCATGATTTTACGAGATATTGTTTCAACAAGACAAGACGACGTTTAAAGTAAGACAGGTAAAAAGGTTGAACTGATAGAGTAAGTTTTTGTATTGACAGATGATAAACGAAAAATCTAAACAAATTTTTTTATCGAGAAATTATAAATACGCCCGAAATGCTTCGAAATGTTCGTTCGGAAGTGGAGCAAAAATTTTATTATTGTATGGAAGCGGAGGGAAACCAATTTGAATAAAATAACATTCTTTCATTCAATGATATTTATTTTCATTGATATGTGATGATTTTTTTGTTATAACCAAACCAAAATTTAAAAAGTCGTATGCCGTCATGAGCAGAATTGAAAAAGCTTTAAAATGAGGTGACACTCAACATAAGGTGCCACTTAAAGTTTAAGGGTATTTTACGCCTCTGCCTAAGGGGTAGCTTTCTAAATACCAAAATTGTCATGTGTCCTCCTTGAAATGAAAATCGAAGGTTTTTTGTTTTTTTTTTTAATTCCGATATTTTCTAGGTGGAAAGTTTTAATTGGAACACCCTATATAGTCGTATTAGCTGTGGCACCTACCAGGATGAAGGAACAACATTCAATTTTGTTTTTTTTTATGGACGCCATATTGGATTTTCGCATTTCGGCATTATTTATTTTTACAAAGAGTGCTTTGAAAACGAAACTTCCAACTATGTATTACTTTAAATGAAATTTCAGCTTAGTTTAATTCTCATTAACAATGTCAAAGCTCAAATTTTAACATGAAGCAAAGCTAGATATTTTTGAAATTAATTAAACAGGAAAGCTTGAATCATCAAAAATTTCGTTTGAATAATAAATGGATGTTTCAAAACACTATCTCTAAATTGAATACAACAACTGTATATTTCGTAAGAAACGAAGATTCAAACTATATCTTATAATACGTCACGTGATAAAAAAATACGCGGAATTCAAAAATGCAAAGCGTTTTACACAAAAAAGTGTCCTAATAACGTTAGAGATACTTTTTTCGCTTTCAATTAAAGAATAAAAACGAAAAAGTCAAAATTTTCAATTTTATTGATAACTTCGAAATAAAAAAGGTAGTTCAAAAGTGTATCTTTGGCAAATTATTCGTCATCATATTCCGCAACATTGCATCTCGTTATTTTATTGATTTTAAAACAAACTTTTAATGAAGTAAACAATATTTGTGTATTGTTTAAGTTGTCATATCTTAGAAACCACTAAAAAAAGGAAAGACTTTTTAGTATCTAAACAAAGAAACGTTATTACTGCATATTATACAATTTCATATGAAAAATTTAAGAAAATTTGAGAGTATGGGCACCCTGTGCAAAATGTTATGATTCGAATACTATTTTTTGTATGAAATAAACTTACCTAAAATCTATCTATATTTTTTATGAAAACCTGGCTCGCCATTGATTTTGAAATTTATATGAATAATTAAATGACCAATAGGTACATATTTTTTTATCTAGTATTACATACAGGGTGGACCATTAGTGTGAGAAAGTAAAATAACTCCCTTGTTACTCATAATACAGAAAAAAAGTTTATATAAACCGAATCAAGAAACCTTTACTACAAAATTAATTTGATACATACAGCGTGATGAGTAAAAACGGGACATGCCAAATATTAAATTTTTTAAATGGAATACCCTGTATATTTTTAAACATATGGATTTCCGAGAAAATTCTATATATGGCAATATAAACAGTTTATCATTTTAGTGCGGGGATGCCAAGTTATGTAGAAAATTCTTCGAATTTTGGAAAAAACATGACTTCGAAGAAGTTATATTAACTTTCACTTTAAGCTTCACTTTCACTTTCTAAAATTTTTCAAATGGAACACCCTGTATTTTATTGTTCTATTTTATTCACATATCGGTCCACTTCAACTTTTATTGAGCATGATCTAATCTAAAATTATTAATTTTTAAGATATAGCTACATTTCTGAAAAAAATTAATTTTTATTATTTTATAAAATACCACAAATAAATATTAACCAATAAAATTAACTCAAAATGGAAAGATAAATTGTGAACTGACAAGTTGACACAATGTGACATTTTTTTCCAAAGCCATTTCGTCCGACCGAAACTAATAAAAATTAGGTTTTTCCAGAAATGTTGCTATATCTTAAAAACTAACAACTTTAGGTTTAGAACATACTTAATAAAAGTTGAAGTGGACTGATATGTGAATAAAATAGAACAATAAAATACAGGGTGTTCCATTTGAAAAATTTAAGAAAATCAAGTTTGAACTTTTTTAAAATGATCGTATTATAAAAAATGCCCTGTATAAAATAGCGATATTAGCCTAACATTTGCCTATAACTCTGTCAAATATTTTGCTCCAAGTGTTAGTAGTAGAAAGTTAATATTCTAATACAACTTCTTCGGCTTCGCACGGATGGACATTTATTTTAAACATTTTGGGATATAAAAAATATAGCCTATGTTACTCAGGGAAAATGTAACATTCTAATGGTGAAAGAATTATCGAAATCCGTCCAGTAGTTTTTGAGATTATTCGTAACAAACATACATACATACAAAAATACAAATCTTTCCTCTTTATAATATTAGTATAGATTTCCTCTTTATAATATTAGTATAGATAACAAGGGAGTTATTTTACTTTCTCATACTAATGGCCCACCCTGTATGTCTAAAATAAATTTAGTATTATACAGGGTGTCCTATAATTAATTGGACATTAGCTAATGGGTGATAGCGCTTGGGCCCAACATGCCATAGCAAAATGTTAGTTGTTTTCGTTCTACGGGGTGTTTTATTAACTTTTTTTCCAATTATTTTTTGAAATATCTTGAAAACTGATCAACGGATTTCGATGAAATTTGATGCCGTGTTATTACTCAGCATGCTTAATACGAAAATGGTATAAATTTCATCATTGCCACTAGATGACGCCACTTACAGCAACGTTAGTCCATTATCATGGCCATAAATTTTTCTTCCCTGTATGTAGATTCTCGAACAAATATAAAGAAATGGCATTAAATTTCACACAAAAGAAAAGGTATATTAATTTCAAGTAAAAAAAGTAGACCGTTTTCGGATTAAATATAATTTTTCAATGAGATGCATAAGTCTGTATTTACTTTGTGCAAAGTATGTTTTGGTATTAAACACAACAACAATGTATTGTAGTAATTGGTGAACATTTTCAACATTTATTGTAATTTGTTGCTGTTTTGTTTCCAAGATTATTGTAGATTAATTTA